GTTCGAATCCAGCCTAGGCTCACCAAACAATAATGACGGCTGCAGCCAAAAAATAGTCAGACGTTGTGGTGGGCGTCTGTGGTCCCAGCTATTTGGGAGGCTGAGGCAGGAGACTCACTTGAGCCCAGGAGTTGGAGGTTGCTGTGAGTTGTGATGCCACCGCACTCTACCCAGGGGGACAGCTTGAGGCTCTGTCTCGAAAAAAAAAAAAGAAAAGAAAAGAAACAGGCTGGTTGCTTGGTTACAATGCTGTGAGCTGACATCTGGCACCAGAGCCCTTCGGACAGATTAGGGTATGAAGGGCTATGGTTAAGGCCGGACTTATAGGGCAGTGCCTGTGGCTCGATGGGTAGGGCACCTGCCCCATATACCAAGGGTAGCGGGTTGGAACCGGCCTGGCCAAACTGCAACAAGAGAATAGCCAGGCGGGGTGGTATCTGTGGCTCAGTGGGTAAGACATGGTCCCATATACGGAGGGTAGTGAGTTCAAACCCAGTCCCTGCCATTGCAACAAAAAAACAGCTGGGCATTGTGGCAAGCTCTTATTGTCCTGGCTACTCAGGAGGCTGAGGCAATAGAATTGCCTAAGCCCAGGAGTTGTAGGTTGCTGTGAGCTGTGATACCACAGCACCTTACTGAGGGTAATAGAGGGAGACTCTGTCAGTACAAAAACAAACAAAAAAACCATTATTTTCCTTAGCCAGCCCCTGTAGTCCCAGCTACCTGGGAGGCTGAGGCAAGAGGATCGTTTGAACCCAAGAGTTTGAGGTTGATGTGAGTTAATGACAGCAAGGCACATTCCCCAGGGCAATAAAGTGGGACTCTCTAGAACAAAAAAAGCAAAAACAAAAACAAAAAACCCACATTATTTTCTTGGCCAGGAGTGGTGGTTCACATCTGTAATACTAGCACTCTGGGAGGCTGAGGGAGGAGAATGTCTTGTGCTCAGGAATTGGAGACCATCCTGAGCAAGAACCAGACTGTCTCTACTAAAAACAGAAAAACTAGCCAGGAGTTGTGGGCACCTGCAGCCCCAGCTACCTGGGAGGCTGAGGCAACAGGATCGCTTGAACCCAGAAGTTTGAGGTTGCTGTAAGCCAGGGGTCCTCGAACTATGGCCCACCGAGGACATTTATCCCGCCTGCCGGGTGTTTTTGCCGCCGCTGCCTGTACCGCTTAGCAGCTGACTACTCCCGGGCTCGCAGTTCGGCCCTCCAACGGTCTGAGGGTCAGTGAACTGGCCCCCTGTTTAAAAAGTTTGAGGACCCCTGCCAGTGTAAACTGTGACGCCACGGAACTCTACCCAGGACAACAGTGAGCCCCTGTGGCAAAAAGAATTTTTTTTTAATTTTGCTTACTGCCTCTATTCGAATACATGCTCCTGGGCGGCGCCTGGGCTCAAAGGAGTAGGGCGCCGGCCCCATATACCGGAGGTGGTGGGTCCAAACCCGGCCCCAGCCAAAAAAAAGAATATACGCTGCGTGAGATGAGAGACGCTGCCTATTTACTGCAGTCTCTCCAGCACTAAAAGAGTCCTCTGGACACAGTGGTGTCCTTTACAAAAAGCTTAATATCTTAAGCCTGCGAGTGGGAAAAGCTACACAGGGTAAAGTGTGGGAGGAAAAGGGTGCCTGCTGGGAAAAAAGCGTGCGTAGGACAAAGCGCACAGGGGAGGTGGCATCCTGCAGCCAGCGCCTGCCATTCCCGCGAAAGCTCGCTCAGACGCCTGACGGCTTGAGTCCGAGGGGTGCGAAAACTCAGACCCAGAGGGATCCGCCTAGGGAAAGCCCCCACATCGCCAGGCCTCCCTACGGTGTAGCCTCGGCTCTGCGCAATACCCCGACTCTGGGATGCAGGGTGCGGGGAGCCGCTTCGCACGCCTCCCATCGCAACCGAGAGGGACTAGGACTCCGCAAGGTCCAGATCGCAGGAGAAGCGGAGGCGGCGGCGCGGGCGGTGGATCACGCCGTGCTCCGCGAAGCTTCTGCACGGGCCACAGCCTCAGTAGGGCAGGAATCGGAGGACCCAGCCCCTCCCCAGACCTCGCCCCACGGGCGGGACCGACTCACCCAGGCCAGCAGCCCGGGACAGCACCGAGCGGACCACAGGGCGCCGGGCGAACAACACCCCTGATTCCGGCCCGCCCCCGGAAACGGGCTGCGACGCCGCTCTGGTAAGCTTGGAGGACCAAGCAACCTCGGCGGCGAGCTGAAGGCTGGGCACTCTCGGGCACAGCTATCGCGAGAGCTGCTGAGGCCCGGGGAGCTGCTTTCTGGTTCTGTGCCGGTCGCTTAGAGTGCTTTTGAAGAGGTGCTTCGCACACTAGCAGACGACTTTAAGATAGGCTTGAAGATGTGATCTACGCTGGGATCAACACAACAAATAAAACTCAAGATTCTTTTTTGTTTTTGAGACAGAGTCTCACTTTGTCGCCCTCAGTAGATTGCTGTCGTGTCACAGCTCACAGCAACGTCAAATTCTTGGGCTTAAGCGACCCTCCTGCCTCGTAACTGGGACTACAGGCGCCCGGCTAATTTTAGAGACGGGGGTCTGGGTCTGGCTCAGGCGATCCATCCCCCCCTACCTTCTAGAGTACTAGGATTACTGGCGTGAGCCACCATGCCCAGCCTTAAATCCTGTATTTTTGGAAACTAGATAGCACCCTATTGAATAACTGTTGGGTTAAAGAGCAATTCATGTAGAACACCACAAGGTACTTAAAATCGAAAGAGAATGAAATACTTTTCAGGATAGTTACAGAGAATAAAATATGTACAATGTATGTTTGTATACATGAATATATATATATAGAGAGAGAGAGCCTTTCAACACATTTATGTATATGTGTATTGCTACTATAAATCCTTCCTTCCTACCTCCCTTACCATTCTTTTTCCCTGGGAAGAGTGCCTGCATCATCATACCTCATAGCAGGGATCCTCAAACTTTTTTTTTTTT